AAAATAAACTTTGGTATCCCACCCTTTGTATTTCCATGTGTATTGAGTCTGATTATTAAATTATACACACAGACACACACACTACATATTGAGATTTTTACTGAACTTTCATTAAACATAGGATCAGTGGGGAAAATCAGAATCTATAATGTTGGATCTTCAAACTCCTACTGTAGTATAGCTCTCCACTTGGTTATGTTTACTTTAACATTTTATAATAAAGTTTCATAATTTTTCTGTAGGGATTACTGCTAGATATATTCATAGTATTTGATCTTTAAGCATTTATAAGTTGTCTTTTTAAAATTTCATTTCCCAACTGTTTCAGAAATAGAGAACTATAATTGATTTTTTTTTTTTCTTTTTGCAAGTGCTCGGGCCTGGTGCACTGGGAAGACCCAGAGGAATCAGGTGGAGAGGGAGGTGGGAGGGGGGGATCGGGATGGGAAATACATGTAAATCCATGGCTGATTCATGTCAATGTATGACAAAATCCACTACAATATTGTAAAGTAATTAGCCTCCAACTAATAAAAATAAATGGAAAAAAAATATATATATATAATTGATTTTTAAATATTTACTTTGTATTCAACATTCTTGCTGGAAACTCTGATTAACTCTAGCAGTATATCTTTAGATTATTTTGGATTTTTATACTTATGATCATATCATCTGCATATAACAACAATTTTGATCAGATATACCTGTTTTTCCTTACCCAACTCCATAGGCTACAATATAAGGCTGAATAGAAGTGGTGATAGGAATCAACCCTTTCTTGTTGCAGATTTCAAAAGGAAATCTTTTAACGCTTCACCGTTAAGCATGATGTTGGGCTTCCCTGGTAGCTCAGCTGGTAAAGAATCCGCCTGCAAAGCAGGAGACCCCGGTTCAATTCCTGGGTTAGGAAGATCCACAGGAGAAGGGATAGGCTACCCACTCCAGTATTCTTTTTTTTTTTTCCCACTCCAGTATTCTTGGGCTTCCCTCGTGGCTCAGACGGTAAAGAATCTGCCTTCAGTGTCAGAGACCTGGGTTCGATCCCTGGCTTGGGAAGATCCTTGGAGAAGGGGATGGCTACCCATCCCAGTATTCTGGCCTAGAGAATTCCATGGACAGAGGAGCCTGGCAGGCTACAGACCAGGGGGTCCCAAAGAGTCGGACATGACTGGACGACTTTCACTTGCTACCATTACTATAAACAGAAGTCTAAACTATCCTCGGGTTTCTTGTTTTCATCCTTTTACTTTCAACACTTCTGTGTGTTTGGAGTGAACCTCTTGTAGATAACATATAGTTATACTTTTAATTTTCATGGAATTTGACATTATAGGTTTTAATAGTGCCTTTATGATGATTGTGACTCAGCTGGTAAAGAATCTGCCTGCAATGTGGGAGACCTGGGTTCAATACCTAGTTTGGGAAGATCCCCTAGAGAAGGGAATGGCTACCTACTTCCAGTATTCTGGCCTAGAGAATTCCATGGACTATATATAGTCCATGGGTCACAAAGAGTTGGACACAACTGAGCAACTTTCACTTCACCTACTATGATTACAAGTATATTTAGAAGTCTTTTGCCTATCTTTTGTATTTTTTATTTATCATATTTTTCTATGCTACTTATTTCTTTCCTATTTTTTTGGAGCATTGTTGAATTTTTATTCTTCACTACTGATTTGGAAGTTTTATATTTCAACTATTGATTTTTCTATTGTTACTCTATATTATTAGTTATCTTAAAAATTTTAATACACACTTAGTCAAGGTCAGGTCAGAAGACAAAACCTACATTGCACAGGTAACCTAACAGGAAACATTTAAAATAAGAATTGCTGACTAGTAAAAGTAGTTAACTGCTAAAAGGAGACAAAGAGGACTCTAGGGAGTATGCAGTAGTGACTTAAGAAAGCAGATACTACTTACCCCCAGGGATAAAGGAAAGTGAACAAGAAACTTAAGAGTGCCTCTTCCCACGAGGCTGAGATTTATACCTCTGAGTGGAGGTCTGGCTGCCACAGGAACAGCCAACCCACTTGTGGCAAATAAACTTGCCAGAGGGTGTTGGATGGTGCTGAACCATGAAGATTGTGTTTATGGTTGCAGGGCCCAAGGGCATGAGCCAAGAGTAAACTGTGGCTGGTGCTTAGGTAACAAAGAACAGCCTCCATATGACAGTCAGCTAGCTGCCGTGGGTAACAGCACCTCAGGAGAGGAAGAAAAGCCCCTTCTTCCCACTCTGGCCTTGCAGTGTCTCTGCAGTGTCCTCAATTGATAAGCCTGACATCAAGACCCCTGGCAGAGGGGAGGAGGCTGAGGTATTTTTAGTATCAAAGCAGGGCCAAGATGGGTTGATTTGGAGCTGTAAGGTAACTAGTAACTGCCACATACAAAGCTATATTTAAAAATATAAAACTCCTTAGCTTCTTAAATAAGGACTTGAATACTTTTAACATTCCTCTGAACCAGCTTCATGGCTCTTGGATGTCAGTACTAGCCCAGTTTTGCAGACATTTTAGGTTGCTTGCTTCCTTGTTTAAAAACAGTCAAGACTTACTTAGGTTTACCTTACATATTTTACAGATTTCTTTATTCTCTGTTGTTTCCCACAAGCCACTCCTGCCTTATGTTACATTTTGTTTCTTGCTGAAATACATCCAGTGACCATTTTTCAATTTGGTATTCCCTTGTGCTTCATATTTAAAAAAAAAATTTTTTTTTTGCCTGTGAGCTTGCTTTTAGTGGGAATTATCTGCTGTGGTGGTTCCAAGTGTGTCCTAGATGGGAATCACAACCCTAGGGGCAATTTTGTGGTTGTCCCAGTCAGGGCTTGACATGGTTCCAGGTTCTAAACCCAACTTTCACATTAGTTTCAAGGTTTCCAAACTAAGTCAGTTGTGTGTAACTTCAGACTCCATGTTCCTATAGGAGAGAGTAGCTGATTGTTCACCCATTGCTGACAACCAGTTCCTTGTCCTCGTTCTCAGCCATGGTGTTTTTTGAGGACCAAACTTTCCAGGCTCCATGTCCCTTACATAGTAGCTTTACCTTCTATCCGGTGTGCTAAAATTCCGGTTCTCTTCAAAACACCCTCTTCAGTTCCTACATGCTACTTTAGATTTTCTCTTTGAACTGTCACTGGAACTTAACCTGTGTTACTTTTTAGTCAATCATGTTTAAAATCATGCTTAAAATTTATGGTTTAATTAGATTTTCTGTGTGTTTGGACTACAGGAAGGATAGGTTTTCGCTTGTCTGCTTTGTCTGCCATTTTGCTCAGTAGTTGTTTTAGGGTGGCTAATATTCAGGAAATGATATATGATACATTCCTTTTTGAATACATTTATTCCTCTGGTACTTTATCGTTTCAAAGAACTTGTCTGTTTAGTGAACATTACAATGCCGCTGTGAGGTAGATAGGACAGGCATCAATTGTCCTACTTTATAATGAGAATTTGTCACTCATAACAGCAAAAACAAATTTTATTACACATCTGCCATGTATTTAGCATGGATGTACTAAATCTTGGATGATGGGGGTGAAAAATCAATTCAAGTAACTTGAGGTGAATTAGAAAGTAAACAGAAACATCAAATACCAAACACAATACAGATAGTTTCTTAGCATATAACTTTAGTAGATATTTAATAAACATTTTTTAAAATTAAAGGTTACAAGGCAGGGAATTGTTAAAATGAAAAATGTAGAATGTTGATAGTAGATGCCCTAGGTGGGGGGAGAGGCCCTTTCAGTGTGGACTGGCTCAGTGGAGGAGGTGGGTTTGACACAGGCCTCTAAGAGGTGAGTAGGATTAGTAGGCAGGATATATTTGGACAGTTCTGGAACAGAGCATCTGCACATGAATAAGGCAGCCAAAAACTGGAGACCTGATTGTGTTCAGTCTAAAACACAAGGAGTGGGCTTGAATTTTGTAGAAAACAGGAGAGAGATAATTTATAAGTGAGAGTAACATGACAGAAACTTTAAGATATTACCATTCTTCAGAAAAGCTCAGTGAAAGCAGTGGTGGGAGAGGAAGCAAGGGCAGGGGGTGCTGCCTGAGCAGATAAGACTTGACTTGACAGCAGCTCTAGGAACACGAGAAACGACAAGAATATTTGGTTTTAAAAAGTCTGAAATGCAAAAGAGGCACTTTTAAATATACAGTTTACATAATTTGTTTTTAATGTTCTTTAGGTGAATCAGCCCTCAGAAAAGTGGAGCAGAATTCCCAAACCTATCTAAGAGAGATACAGAAAGCCCCTGTCCTCTCTGGCACTCGAGTCTCCAGTGCTCTGCTGTGGGAGTGCAGACAGACCTGGGCTTGAAACTCTGTTTGCATTTTCCTATGGAAATAATGCCACATGCTGGAGTTTGATCCCAGGCTATCCATCCCACACTGAAGTACTTAACTCAAGGTATATAGGTATATCACTAACATGGTTATCATCAGGAAAGTATGTTTTAGTTCCACAGCAGATACAGGAACGAACCTCCAGAGAAGTACCAAAGGTGGCAGCCAGTAGAGCTTAGGTAGTGTTAACTCTCAGCACTTTTGGGTGGGTCACTTTTTAGTCCCATAAAAAAACCTTTCTCCCTGCGTCAGTCCCTACCCAGGAGTACTGACAGCTGCTCCACCAGTGGACCTCCCTCATCTTCTGTGTCTAAGACAGGACACCTGGTGTAGACATTCATGCAAGTCCTAAGACAGTGAAAATTCACCACTGAGGTCCTGATCATTTGTTAGGCACAAATACCCCACTTCTTTTTGGATTTAAACAATTAAACCCAACCAAGAAAGAGCAGTTCTTGCTTTTACATGTGTTTACCTCTGCCTAATACTACCCAGTCATGCAGTTATACTGCACACAAGAATGTGTGTGTATGTGTATATATATATACACCCACACATATGTGTATTTTCAAATGGCTATTGTGATTTAAATTACAAAATATACATATGTACACATTTAAAAAATAAAGATGTTGTTCATCATCAACTTCTAGGCTGTCCATCTGCAGTCAGCTCATACCTGTAAAACAGTTGGGTTTGGATTTGTGTTAGTATTGCGAGTGGGTTGTGGCAATATCAAGACAAGTGGCCTAGTCTATCCTACTTGGGCCTGTGGGACCAGCAGAACTCATCTCTGTAAGTTGACCAGCCAAGGTTAAGACTAGAGCTTACAGAGAGGTTCTTTAGATAAGTGAAGTCTGTAGGCAGTAAAGCCTGAAGTAAAAGTGATAATGTCCCCCTCCTTGATAAGATATTGAAGAGGGAAAAACTTTGGAAAGAAAATATGGGCAACCACCTGAGATAAATTGAGTAGCAGATTTAATGTGATAAAATGAAACCACTCACTTACCACTGTGAGAAGCCCTTAATCAGATCTTCTTTTGATAAGTCAATCAGTACCTAAACAAGCACAAATTATCAGTTCTCTTCCTCAAAACTGCATTAAATGGAAACATATTGGGATAAATGAAACTGATCCTAAAAAGAGCCTCCTTGAATTTTGAGCAATAGCTCTTTTTCTTTGGCTTTCAATATATAGAACCTCTCCAGAAGGACAGTACTGACACCAACCTCAGTGTCCTAGGAAAAGGTGAACTGCTATTTGCAGTTGTACCTCAGGAATTTACTTAACAAATGTTTTAGAGAAAACAGCTTGCCTTTACTTACAAACTGATCCAGAATTTTAAGCAAGACACTCTAGTTTTCTCAACAATAAAAATGGGACTATCATCACCTACTTCATAGAGTGGACTTTAAAAAATGAGCGTAAGATAATGTTTAAAATACAACAACCGCAGAGTGTACAAATACCATTCTTTTTTGTCTCTCCTTCCTGAGGATTATATTTTCTTTACTTCTGACTTTAAGTTAAAATCACATTTACCACAGAAGTCTTGACATAATGAGATCCAAGCTTCACACAATGCTGTACTTGTGAAAACAATACTTAATATCATAGTAGAGGTTCAAATACTTTTGTAGTGATGAACTTGGATATTCTTGAGTTTCTTAAAATAGGGTTTATTATATTAATTTATATAGTTTAGTTTTAAGATTATTTTTTAAAAGGCACAAAACAAAAAACCTCCCAGTGAGGCTGTATCTTCCTTAAAGTCAGTTCTGATAACAAATTGATGATCCCATCAAAACTTCAGCAAGGATGTGTTCCCCCTGTGAACTCCAGGTAGCCGCCAGGAGGGAAAGAGTACCAAGACCCCCTTTTGTGCTTACCTTTCCCAGTTCCTTCCTTCTGTGTGAGCCAAGTGGTCTACTATTTTTCACTGCGACATCTAGTGACCTCTTCTTTACTTCATCCATGGAAACAAAAAATTCAAATCTTTAAGGAGCAGAAAGTCAGAAATGAGATTTATATATTTTAATTATTTTCACTGAAAATCTCTAGTGTTTCATCCATTTTACTACCTTTAAAACAGAAGATACAGACTGTCTACTGTTCTAGATACTATAAAGAATCTAGAGCAGTATTAGGTTACAGCAGATACTTGCTGCATCATTATTATAGATAATCACTGTACTGTTACAAAACCTGGAAGTGTCAAGAGGCCATTTACCCCTCTTGAGAAGCTCCTTGGACTACTGTGCTTTGGGGTTGCTTCTTTCTTTCTCTGATTCTACTCTGGTTGTCACTCTGTTCAGCTGTCCCTTCTCTCTGAACTGTGCCTGCTCACAGGACCACCTCAACCCCTTTTTGTTTTTTTCTGACCAACTAAGGGCTAGGATGCTGAATAATTAGTTTTGCTGAAATTGCATGGAAGAAAGTGGCTTTTTCCCACTTGTGCCTGTGGAGTAAGGCAGATGAATCTTAGTATACAAGCTTTGTCACATACTCACAAGAGGCCTCTGAACTCCTTACTTCAGGATTTTTTTTTTAATCTTTAAATTTTTTAAAATTGAGTGAAGATTATTTAAATTCAATAGTACTTTACACTTCAAAAGTTTGACATGCATGATTTAATATAATCCTATATCTTAATTTTTTTAATTGAGATATAAATGACATAGCATTATTAAGTTTTAATAATGATGTGATTTGTATGTTATAAAATGTCAGTCTAAATCACCACATATAGTTACAACAAATTTTTTTCTTGTGATGAGAACTTTCAAGATCCACTCTCCTTGCTACTTTCAAATATGTAATATAGCATTATTAACTATAGTCACCATGCTATACATTATATCCCCATGAATTACTCACTTAATAGCTGGAAATTAGTACCTATTGACCCCTGCCATCTATTTCACACACACCCTAATCTTCACCTCTGGTAACCACCAATCTCTATATGTATGAGCTTGGGTGTTTTTGTTTGGTTGTTTTTTTCGTATTTTTAGGTTCCACATATAAGTGAGATCATAAGTAATTATCTTTTTCTAACTTATTTAACTTAGTATAATGCCCTCAAGGTCTATCCATGTTGCAAATGGCAAGATTTCTTTTTTTTATGGACATTTAGGTTGTTTCCATGTCTTGGCTATTGTAAGTAATGCCACAGTGAATACGGGTGTGCATATATCATTTTGAATTACTGTTGTTTTAATAAATACACAGAAGTAGAATTGCCTGGTAGTATGGTAGTACTATTTTTTTATTTTTTTGAGGAACCTCCATACTGTTTTCCATAGCTGCCCCAATTTACCTTCCCAGCAACAGTGCCCAAGGGTTCCCTTTTCTCCATATCCTTACCAACACTTGTTATTTCTTTTTTATAATAACCATTCTCACAGATATGAGGTGATATCTCATTGTGGTTTTGATTTGCATTTCCCTAATGATTAATGATGTTGAACATCTTTTCATGTACCTACTAACCATCCATATTTCTTCTTCAGAAAAATGTCTATTCAGAGCCTCTGCTCATTTTTTAATCAGATTTTTCTGTAGAGTTCTGTGAGTTTTAATATAGATTTTGGATATTAACTGCTACTATATATGATCTACAAGTATTTTTTCCAATTTGGTAGGTTGTCTTTTTATTTTGTTGGTTTCCTTCGCTGTGTTTTAATGTGGTCTCAAGTTGCCTCATTTGTTTAGTTTTGCTTTAGTTGCCTTTGGTCTTGGTGTCTAATCCAAAAAATCATCACCAAGACTGATGTCAGTGAGTTTAACTCACCTAAGTTTTCTTCTAAGAGTTTCGTAGTTTCAGCTCTTACATTCAAGTCTGTAGTCCATTTTGAGTTAATTTTTGTGTACAGTGTAACAGTGTAAGATAGTGGTGGAATTTTATTCTTTTGCATGTGACTGTCCAGTTTTCCCAATACCACTTGTTGAAGAGACTGTGCTTCCCCCATGATACATTCTTGTCTCCTTTGTCATAAGTTAATTGGCCATATATGTGTGGGTTTATTTCTGGGCTCTCTATTCTGTACCATTGATGTCTCTTCATGCCAGTACCATACTGTTTTGATTATTATAACTTTGTAAAATAGTTTGATGCCTGGAGGCATCAGGGAGTATGATGCCTCCAGCTTTGTTCACCTTCCTCAAGATTGCTTTGATTCTTGTGGTTCTATGCAAATTTTAGGATTTTCTATTTCTGTAAAAATGCCATTAGAAGTTTGATTGCATTGAATCTATAGATTGCTTTGTATAGTATGGACATTTTAACATTATTAATTCTTCCAATTCATAAGCATAATGTATCTTTCCATTTGTTTGTGTTGTCTTTGATTTCTTCCATCAGTGTTTTAGTTTTCAGAGTACAGGTCTCTTACCTCCTTGGTTAGATTTACTCCTAGATATTTTATTCTTTTTGGTGCAGTTTTGAATGGTTTTCTTAATTTCTCTGATACTTTGTTGTTAGTGTATAGAAATGCAATGGATTTCTGTTTATTAGATTTGTATCCTGCAGTTTTACTGAATTCATTAAATAGATTTTTGGTGGCTTCTCTAGGATTTTCTTTATTAAGTACCATGTCATCTTCAAACAGTGACAGTTTTATTTTTTCCTTTTTATTTTCTTCTTGTCTGATTACTATGAGTTGACTTTCCAATACTGTGTTGAATAAACCTGGTGAGAGTGCTGGTCTTGTAAAGTGGGTCTGCAAGTGTTTCCTCGTCTACATTTTGGAAGAGTTTGAGAAGGAATGGTATTAATTCTTCGAATATTTGGTAAAGTTCACTAGTGAAGCCGTGTGGTCCCTGGACCTGTTTGTTGGGAGATTTTTGATTAATGATTTAAACTTCTTCCTAAAAAAAATAAAAATAAAAAATAAACTTCTTCCTAGTAATCAGTCTGTTCACATTTTCTGTTTCTTCATTATTCAGTCTTGGTAAGTTGTATTTCTAGGAATTTATCTTTTTCTTCTAGGTTATCTAATTTGTTGATGTATAACTATTCATAGTCTCTTATGATCCTTCGTATTTTTGTGGTATCAATTTTACAGCTTCTGTTTCCTCTTTTTTGCCCTTTTTTTCCCCCCTTGGTGAGTCTAGCTAAAGGTTTATCAATTTTGATTATCTTTTCAAAGCTCTAAGTTTCTATGATTTTTTTTGTTTTTTTTTTTATTCTCTATTTTCACTCTGAACTTTATTTTCTTCCTTCTGTTAAGTTTGGACTTTATTCTTCTTCTTGTTCCTTGAGATGTAAGGTTAGGTGGTTTGAGATTTTTCTTGTTTATGATATATGCATTTACTGTTATGAAATTTCCTCTTAGAACTGTTTTTGCTACATCCCATAAATTTTGTTATGTTACATTTCCATTTTCTTTGAACATATATTCTTATTTGTCTTGATTTCTTAACAAGATTTTAGTCTTCTTAAATTTAAGACTTGTTTGTGGCAGCCTAGTATATGATCTATCCTGGAGAATGTTCTGTGGGCACTTGAGACAGTGTATTCTGCTGCTTTGGGATGAACTGTTCTATGTATTAGACCAGTTCATCTGGTCTAGCGAGTCATATACAGCTAATGTTTCCATATTAAATTTATCAGATGATCTATCTTTTGTTGAAAGTAGGGTACTAAAGTAGTCTCCTTCAATTCTGAATGATAAGTTTCCCCAGTAGAGTATTTTTGGTTGGAAGCATTTTCCTTTCAGCAGTTTGAATATATTGTGCCACTCCATTCTGGCCTGAAAAGTTTCTGCTGATAGTCTTATGTTGGGGGCCAGGGGGATGTAATTACTTGTTTTTCTCTCACTGTTTTTAAGATTATCTTATCTTTAATTTTAGATATTTTAATTATAATGTATATGGTATCAATCATGTACTAACAAGAGACCTCTGAATTCTTTACTTCTAGGTTTACATTTAAGATCAAGGTTGCCAAGTCTGCCTTGTAGATAATCCAGGCATATCTTGCTGTTACAATTTCGAGAGAGAATTACTAACAGATTAGGTTTGTCACAAAAGTCAACCTCCTGTGTTCCCACATAGCAGTTTTGACATCCTTTTATGTTAGAGCTCCCTTTGAAGGCAACATCTTTCACTTGTGTGACTGCAGAATATAGGATGGTGCCTAATATTAATAGAAAGTGTTCAATAAATATTGAACGAATTAATTCTCTCTCCCAACACTTTCTTGATATCAATGAACTAAAAATGTAGCTTTTGAAGGAACAAATTAGTCTTTAGACATGACCCAAAAAAGAACTCAGTATAGCTCTTTTTAAAATGAGTAGTTATTGATCAAGATAAGCAGAAACAAACATTATTAGGTAAATCATCCTAGGCTGGCTAGCAATGTCTTCTCTTAGGATCCCACAGCAAAAAGAAGCAAGCACCTTGTGATCAACTTGAAACCAAAAATAGGAATATTAAAGATAAGACTTACTACCACAGACTCATCAAAAGCAAGAAATGTGATTAGACTCTGTCTACTAATTTTGTCCCCAAGGACATGCGTGGACACACTGGGGGAGGGTATCTGTTCCACCTGTGCTTGTTACAGGAGGGAAGACAGGCCAAAGAGCTTGGAACTTTGGAGGACATTTTAGGTCCTTAGGTTCAAGGTATGTTTATTTATGTTTGAAAACAAACATCTGACTAGATTCAAATCTTTTTGCTGCCAAAGGGTATTTGTTTAAAGAGAAAGAGTGTGGGACATTTCATAATCAGGAACGCTTTGGTCCACACAGGCAAGAAAAGTGGGTGACTGTTTTGCTAAACTTCTCTGGCAGTCCTTTTCTCCCATAAAATGTAGAAGCTTCATGACTATGTTGGTGTCCTGTTCAACCCCACCCCTTCCCAGCATCTAGCAGTTGCCAGGCACACAGGAGGTACTCAGCAAATGCTCGAGTGGCTGGGACACTCTAAGCGGGCCCCCTGGGCCACTTACGTCTCATCAAACAGGGGCTCCAGGGTCTTCCGCTTCACTGAGGTCTTCTTACGACTTGCCCACCTCCTTTCTGGCAACAAGTAGACACGGACGTAGGGATCAGCTCCACTGCTGGTACAGGGCGTCAGGTTTCTGATTTGGTTTCAAAGACATTAAAGAAAAGAGGCCCCTCATTTTGATATACTGAAAGCACTCATTTGGAGAAAGCTGTACTAGCCATACAGCTTTAGATGGCCTTGGGGATAAAAATGCCCTATAATCTAGACCAAAAAAATCAAAAGTCTGCAGAATTTGGAGGACAAAACATCAGGTGCGTGGTTTTAAAAACATGTTTTTATGAAGTTTGGGGTAGAGCCAAGTACTTTTCCATGTAAAGGAAGTTGAAGATTCTTGAGAGAATGTCCTGGCTCCAGGGCACCCCAGACAGCTTTGCAGCGGATGTGTCTGAGCAACAGCCTTGGTTCTAGAGCCTGTCAGCTCCATCGAGGATCCTGTTAGAGCATTCGAATCTCACTCCTTCCAAGTGTCTACCTTGGGGCTGCCTGCCCCTGCCATTGCTCCAAGCAACCCCACTGATTTTTGGTCACCTAATGCTCCCAAGGGATCTTTCCTGGTCCTAGCATCTCTTTACCTGCAGCCATTGATTAGCACGCTGAGACAGCGCCGCAGACACACATAGCGCACCGTGAGCTGAATCTCACCCAGCCCCCGATGCCCGAGATTCCCGCCTCTGTAAAGAAAGGGCTTGTCATTTCTCTTACCATTACGGGTGCTGGCCTCTCCCCCCACCCCCAAGAAGCATGTCAGTTAACAAATTAATTCTCAGTAAGGTTCCTTTTAGTTGGAATTACTTCCTATCCCGCATTCATGTATAATTATCCTACTTCACTGTAGGGAGAGCATGGTACCATAGGAAGAACCCTCTAGCAGCATCTGCCTTTATACTATGATTTCTTGTGGAACCTTGGGCAAGTTACTCAACCTTTATGATAGTAAGTTCTGTCTTTCAGGGTTACTGCGAAGATCCAATTGCTAAGCCCAGAGTCAACACTTAATAAATAGCAGCCATTGGTTATATAATTCCACATTCTTGGCTTTCCATATCATCCCAGTATAAATAACTCTTTAGAATTCAGGATATGTTTTTGCTGTAAGGAACCTTAACAACCAAAGTCCAACACTGTTTTATAGTTGGTATGTAGCTAGAGCCCCACCAGACTTTTGGGCACATGCACTCGTGCTTTCTCTCCCCACATCCTGTGTTCTTTCTATCCACCATGCTGCCTTATGAAACCATTTTGTGAAAAACCAAGACTTGCATAGAAAAGTAAGTTCATATCTACTTTTCCATCCAGGGAGGTATTTTTCATGCAGGTCATTTTAGAAAATATTAAGCAGAGAGGTGCATACTCAATGTTGAGGCTGCTATCTGTCAGGTCAAAGCAGGAAGAGGCCAGGGAGTTGAGCGAGGACATGCTGGGAGCCAGCCCCTTGGGTGGCCATGCGAATGGGGAGGCAGGGCATTTCATGGGTCTGGGTGACTTGATGGGCCCTGGAGAGTGGGGGCCTGGCACAGCCAAGTAGATGGTGGCCAGACTCTTCTTCCCCATGGGTGCACTGTCCTTGCCTTTGGGCTCTGGGCCCGTCTCTTCAAGCATGGGCTTGGTGGCAGTGATGGTGGCAGAAGTGGTGTTCTTGGCAGCTTGCTTGATCTCAGAAGAAGGGTCTGGAGGGCATGGCAGATCTGTAGGGCCCTCTCCCTGGGGTCGGGCTCTAGGGTCCTGGTTGGTGGTGACCTTCTTAATGAACAGAGGGCCTTTCTTTAGGGCTTCAGGTCCTGTGTATGGACTTCCCAGCTCTCGTTCTTCCAAGTGTAGGAACTATAAGCAGATGACAGGGTTGTTTATGGGCTGGCACATCACTTCCACTTTCTCCCCCCTACTCTCACCTTCACCCCTGGGAAATGGTTCCTTCTCTCTTCTGGGAGGAACAGTTCCCTCAAAACTCCGTTCCTTCCTGACTGCCCAATCCAATGGGTTTTTACTCCCAGACCTATCTTCTTCTTAACCTCTCTGCCCTGGCTCCCTCTGACCAAACCTTCTCTTTGCCCTTCTTCCTGCCTCAGTAATTGTCATGAAGACTCAGTTGTGACTCCCTTTTCTCTTTATACTATTTCTGGCTGCTGGAGACCTGACCCATTTACCTTAACCTTCCTGTATATCACCAGCTGCCTTCTGGATGTGATCATTTCTAGCCACCACCTTATTCACCATTGCTTTCCCCTAAAATGTGTTTTCTATCCAGATACAATCATGTGCTCCCAAAGTTTCAAACCTCAGCCATTGTTTCTCCTTCTCCCATCAGTCATTAAGACTCTTCCTAGGAATTTCGATTTCTAGCAATATGGTGATCAAAAATATTCTGAAAAACCTCTTGTTAGAAATGCTCAATAAAATGAAACAAACATGCATAGCCAAATTCACAAGAAAGTAAGGGAAATCCCTAGGTTTAAAAAAAAAAAAAGCAAAAAAAAGAAGGAAAACTGGAAAAGGTTAACTTTCTGAGTGTTATTTGTCAACCTTAGAATCCAAGGGGTTTGGAGATGAGGCCTTGGGTCAGTGTAGGACCCAGGAAGGTGGGATATGTTTAGTGAAAAAGTAGTCTAGGATAAACATTTCACCCACCAGCAAAGACTGATGACAAGAAATATATCTCAGCCTGGACTATGGCTGGCGGGAGATAAAAGTATTTCCTGAGAATATGGCACTGTATAGGTTTGTCTCCTATGAATTTTGGATTTATATTTATACAACCTGTGGGGTCACGAAACCCAAAGTTTGAAAGTTAATATAAAAATGGACTTAGGTTTATAATGTTCCTGAGGTGCCTGGTTGCAGCCAAAGCAGAACTTCCTTGGAAGCGAACAACCTCACTTCAAGTCACAAAGGTAACACCGAACACATGTCTGCAACCCCAGTTACCAAACGTAGAAATGAGTCACCATGAAAAAGCATCAACAGACATCAAAATTTTAACTCCCAAGATCTTCAGATAACAGGATTAGCAGACATACATTTTAAGTATTTTCAAATGATTAAAGATAGACTAGAAACATGAAAATAAAATACAACAAAGAAAAGATATTGTAGACTTGGAAAATATAAACTGAAAAATGAAAAAGTAGCCTTTGAAATAAAAACTGTGAACAGGTTTAACAGCAGATTAGGCATAGCCAAAGAAAGATGTAGTGGTATGGAAAACAGGTCTGAGGCAATTAGAAGGTAGCACCAAGAGATAAAGAGACAGAAAATATGAAGGTCAGGTCATGTTAAGCCATGGAGATGATATGGTCCAATGTAATCAAAGGAAATGTAGAAGGAGGGATTAAAAGATTGGGAGAGGCAATATTTGAAGAGAAAATGGCTGACAATATCCTGAAATTGATATTAAAAAATATGAATCCATCTCTGAACTTCTTCACAACACAGGGCAGATACTTAGTGCTGGGGCAGACCACCCCTTGCCCACCCTGGGGGAAATGGGAGAGATTTACCCGAAGCACCAGCCTCATGGAGATGAGGCTGTCCAGGCCTGAGTGGTCCAGCTGGAAGCGCTGCTCCAGAGTAAGGTCTGCATGGGGGAGAATCTGGCACAGGGGGAACTCCAGCACTCCTAGAGCACACTCTTGGTCGTCATCAAGCACCTGGGCAATGGGCCAGTCACAAAACAAGATGATAACCAAGCCCCACCCTCGCCAGCAGTACTCTCTTGGCTCCAGCCAAGACTTAGTTTACTTCGGTAAGTATGTTCTGTGCTTCTCTTAGCCTCTGGTTCTGTTCTGAAAACTGGAAATGAAACCTGATTTGGTCCCTGCCTTCAGTCAGGGCAAGAGAGTGACTCAGGGGAGAGGCAACCGTGACCTGCATGAGGCAAGTTTGTCAATGCCTGGGGCCTTCAGGATTTTAGGGACTGATGAGCTGTGCTGCTCTATGATGGGACCAAGTACATCATCATTAATGTCCTGAGTAGATTTCAACCCAGGCCACACTAGGTGCTATTAATATGTAAAAACTGGAGACTCTGGCAGGGAGTGCCATGGGACTTAAGGGTTTGTCCTTCCACAGCCTCCTCCCCAATGACCTTGGGCACCTGCTCATGAGATGTGGGCCCTCAGTATCCTCTCCTGACTCCCTGGGGAACCTGCTCAAGCCCCCACCCCTCGAGGCTTAGACGCCTCTGAGCTCTGTTCCAAGAGCCCAACTTCATGCAAACCTTCAGATGCAGCTGTTCAGCGGCCACGTTGTGCACGAAGAAGGAGAATACCTGGCTCCATACTGGGTCCTTGCTGCGGGGACAGGTCTGGGGGCAGGATAGGAAGGGAGTGCTGAAGGGTTAGGTTGGGCAGAGCAAGGTACCAGTGCCCTCTGCTCTCTGTCCACCCAGGGATAGACCTACACACGCTGCAGCTTGTGGGAGGCACCAGGGCAGGGCAGCCAGACTTGAAGGCGAGGAGAGTGTGCCAGGAACTCTCAAGGGGGCTGAAATCCTACCAGCACTAGAACTCACTTCCCCAGGGAGGTGGTGGGGGGAGGGAAAGGGGACTTCTGCTGCTGGGGTGATGGAAAGCACGTAGGCTGAGGGCCATGCCTAAGCTTGAACCCTGGTTCTGCTTTCTAGCTCTTGGAGTCACTGATCTCTGGTCCCCAGATTCTTGAACTATAGAACTCTTTGTGAGGTTATTTTGAAGACACAGTGATATAAAGCACCTATAATGTGCGCTGGCACCTACTTCAGTGTAAGCTAATTCCCTTCACTTTTGCTTCTCTCCCTGAAGTGTTGGGGTCCCCATTTCCTTAGTCTTTGGCTGCACACCAAGCTATCTTACCTTGCTCAGGTGTGTCATCTTGCCTACAGAGAGCCTGACGTAGGAAGAAGGGTCTCTGCTGACTTTATTCTGTGAGGGGACAAATCCACAAAATAGAGATAGCACCCACAGTGCCAACTTGAGACCCCACCTCTCAACCCTCAGGAGCATCGGTGGGACCTGAGGCCACCCAACCTGCCTCCCTTTGAGAGAAGGCCTCTCTGGTGCTCCCAGGGGCCTGGGTTGTCATCACTGTGCCAGCACCTGGGCTGGGCTGACCCTGTGGGGAGCTTCCAATTTAAAGACAGGAGGTATGACTGGACACAGGTGCTTGTTCCCTAGAGCTGTGGAGACAAGACAGGGTGGAGCTGAGCTCTGGCTTCACCTGAGCTATGTGACCCAGGCACTTAGCTTCCTGGGTCCTATTTTTAAATGGCAATAAAAATGGACACACAGCCACCATGGGATTCAGGCATAACGGATGTGGGAGGAGCCCAGTGCCCGGCTCACTGCAGACTCAGTGATCCCCACTGAGTCATCATCCCCAGGCTGTGTACACAGCAGACTGGAAGCTGTGGTTACTCGGGAAAAGGAGCTGTCACTTCCTTTCATACACACACTTACCCTGGCAAATCTGGACAGCTTTTTGGCTTGATATTCACCATTTAGGTACTCAAAAGGGCTTCTCTGCAGCATGAGAAGAATAGGGTGAATGAGCAACATATGGACATTTGAAAGTGACGGGCACAAGGCAGGGTGTGTGTGACGCTCTAGTCATGTCACCACTCACCGGCAGGTTGCAGGCGCTCTCCAAGAAGACCACAAGGATGGCAGTGGAAAAGCTCCCATGGTCCTACAAGCAGACACAGACCCTCACTACAAGCAGGAGACACAGACCAGTTTAGGAGAGCCCTCTTCATGGCTCCAGACTGGCCATACCTCCCCTTACAATCTAGCTCTTTGTTGAGGCTGAAAATACAACTACAGCATGACAGACTCAAGTCAGAACTGGTGGACTTCCTTATGAACTGGGCTGACAGGCACTAACAGAAATTTTAAGGATCCCATCCACCCTGTGTGGAGATGAGGGCTGAGGGACACGCTCTCCAGAAGGTGGGGCTGGCCGGAGGACCCTGAGCAAGATCTGTGGCTTCAGCTCCCTCCTCCTCCCTCCTCCCAACACACCACTCACAAGTGCCCTCCTCCACCTTTCTGCCCAGAAGCCTGACACCCTGCAGTCACCTCAGTCACAGCGTCCGGCTCTGTGATCAGTGAAAGCCATTCCAGCCGCAGGTGCAGCCGCCCGCTCGTTGTGTTGTTCAGCGCAAACCACTGCAGGGGGACAGGGCCAGTGAGACCCTGTAAGGCCCTGATAGGGGCTTCAGGGAAGAGGTGAACCAGAGCAGACAGGGTGGGCTCTGGGCTAGGAGAGGTGGTTATGAAAGGCCAGTACTACAGTTTGGGGCGGAAGCAATGTGTCCAAAGGAGGGGGTTGCAGGTGCCAACTCTACCTCATCCACCACTCTGTTGGTCATGACATCCCCGAGGCAGATCTGCAGGCTGGAATACACAGGGAGTGAAGGTCAGTTCAGTCCAGGGGCAGCAGCAGGCACGGAGGCCCACTCTGAAACGTTTTCAAGTATCTGAGTGGGACCCTCACAACAGGACCTTATTCATCAGAAGAATGAATGGAAGACCACTTTGAGCTCAACCTAAGGAAGAACTGTCTAGCCATTGGGGCTGCTCCCGTTGGGCATGCTGCCCAAGCAGACAAGCAGCTCTGATCCCCAGAGGGGAATAAGCAGACGCTGCTGGACACACTGACTCTGGATGCTCAATGAGGGTGCGCCTGGCATTTTGGCTGGGATGAGTCTTCATTGTGCAAAACTGCCCATGCATTGCAGGAATTTAGCTTCTCTGTCCTGTGTCGTCTAAATGCCAGCGGCACCACCTCCCATGGTCACTGTAATAACCCAACAGGCCCTTCCATTTCCAAAACTGCCTCAGATGCCCTCCATGGGCTAAGTATAGTTGGCATGAGTGTGAAAGAAGGTAACATATTCACCGTGTGCCTCCCACCTACCTCCCAGCTGGGAGGTCCTGATAGCCAGGGGTGGGGGGGAATAATTCCATGTTAACTGTTAGAAATGTGCTGGACCTCAAAACACATTTGAAATCAGTTACATAAAATATGAACCACAGACACACTTCTAATCTGTAACATTACAAAAGTCACAACTCCTTTAAGATGAAAATTTTAAAATGGTAAGTCACATCTGGTGGTAAGCTATTTCTTAGCCTGTTAGATTGTGCCTGTCCCATTTTGTTTCTACATTTTAAAATCACATATACATGGAAACAAGCTAAAAAATTTAGGAGTATGAAGATTTGGGTAAAACTGTTCTGCTGCCTCCTAATCCCAGCCTCTGAGATGAGCAGTGGTGTCACTTCCACACCAGCACATGTGAACACACAAACATCCTCCCTGGAAAAATGTTTCGACTATTTCCCCCACTTCCTTAACTATACTGAATATCCTCATGGTCAACATACATAGATCCTACTCATTTTTAAAAGCTGTAGGGTATTCTGTAGTTTAGCAATGTTAAATTTATTCAAATATTCAACCAATGTCCTCTGAGTCTGGTCATGCTTCCAGGTTTTTTGTTTTGCCACCACAGATAGGTCTGCAATAAATGATTGAGGTTTAATGCTTTTTATTGGAGAATCCTGGAATTAGGATGGCTGGACCAGTGTAATTTTGGGGTTCCTCAGAGCACAGAGGCTCTGTTCTACCACAGAGTGAGCACATGTTTCTTGGGTGCTAGGGCCAGGCTATGCATACCAGCCTTGGCGCTGCCCACTGCTCCAGATGGGACTCTGGGTGCATTATGAAGAGCACAGAAAGCAGAGCCCGTGATGCACAAACCTCAGAACCCCCTTCATGCCTCCAGAGGGCTAGGACTCAGGGCTGGACACCCAGGGGACATCTGGGGAGGAGGTCCATGGCAGCGATATGGAATGGCAGTACTGGCTGCCTGGCACAGTCACTATGTCAGAGTGTGGTGGGAGCTGCAGGTCCCTGAGTGGTGGAAGTGGAAGTACCTGTGACCCCAAGGGCCAAAGCCCTGCACCCCCAGGTCCAGCTTGGTCCTCCTCACCTGCCCAAGAAGTCGTCCTTGTCAGGATCCTCATCATACAGGTCCACTTCCAGGTCCTGCCCAGGGACTTCATACACTATGAACTGGGAGGAAAGAGAGGTGACTTGACCTGCAGGCCCCAATAGCTGATGAAACATACATCAAGCATGACCTCAGGGGAGCCAAGTTCCAGCCCTGTCTCCTGGCAGCTCAGAGCCCTGGGAAGGTTCCTGGAGAACCTTACTGGAAGTAGGGAGTGATGCCCTCTCCTGTGGGATGCAGAGACTCAGAGGCAGCTTGTCTAAGACTGTGGCAGGTTGGGGGCTTGGACGGTTGGCTGCTCTGTTTTCTGCCGGGGGCTTGCAGCTTCCAAACTGTGACCCTCAACCTGGCTGTGGGCCTGCCCTACCCCCAATAGGGACTGTGGTTGAACTTAAGGGAGAACTTAAGGCTACTGGCATCTGGTTCTGGGGCAGGGAAGGCTGAGAGGGTTGGGGCAGGACTGCCCCTGAGGTTCTGTGAATGGGAAACTTCCAATGACGCTGCCTCTGGTCAGGAAAAGAGGGAGGAATCAGTCAATAAACTAGTCCTCCACCAGGAGCGGCCACCTCTGGAAGCCTAGTGGATCTGGGAAGTAGGTCTGCCTGTCCCCAAAGCCATGCCTGTGGTACAGTTTTGCCCCATGGGTATGTGAAGACCATGAAGGCAGAACCCCATCTTGTTTGGGCCAGCACTGCCCGGAGTGGAGCTCTGGAGAGTAGCTGGGAGCCTCTAAGGAGCCCCTCACCTCAAACACCTCATTCCAGGTGGGGTACAGGTTCTTAGAGATGGTCCTGCTCCGGAAGTGCTGCAGGCCGATGCTCACCTTGGCGTAGGGGTCTGACTTGCCTCGAATTCCCAGGAAGCTGTCCTTCTGGGCCAGCTTTTCAGCCTCCAGCAAGTGGACTCTGATCACTCCCTGCAAAATGCCCCAATCTGAGGCTCACAGCTATTTCGAGGAACCTCAAAGTCCCCAACTTCAGAGCCAAAGCCATCAGCTATCACAGCAGCCACAATCTCACCCTCTCCACGTCTGCAGACAGAAGCCACAGGGCCATGGAGCGGGTGCGGGCAGGACCCAGGGCTCAGTCCACTGCATCAGGATGCCCGCACACATTCCTGCCCTCCTGACCTCCCTTCCTACCCCGTGAACTGAGTATTGGCTGTAGCCATTTCCTCCCCCTGTGCCAACCGCCACACTGCCTGAGCCAGTTTCCTCCCGTGTTCCATCCCTGTCTCTAACCCACATGCAGACTGAGATCCAGGGTCCTTTCTTCCCAATACCCAGATGTATACGCTTCTGTGGGCACTGCATGATGCTCACAGTAGGTTCCCGGGCTCATCAAGGCCCCAGCACTGAGTCGCCTCACTCCCAACACTCTGGGCTACATCTTAAGCCAGAACAGAGCACAAGAATTAAGAGAAACACTTAAGGGGACGAGGAGGGCTCCTGTCTAGCACTATTTTTTTTTTTAATATCAGTAAATAAATAAGACAGTAGGCACTGAGAGAAGGTGTCAGAAGGCAGACAGACTGAAACCACAATCACAGACAACCAGCCAATCTGATCACAGGACCACAGACTTGTCTAACTCAATGAAACTAAGCCATGCCATGTGGGGCCACCCAAGACGGACGGGTCATGGTGGAGAGGTCTGACAGAATGTGGTCCACTGGAGAAGGGAATGGTAAACCACTTCAGTATTCTTGCCTTGAGAACCCCATGAACAGTATGAAAAGGCAAAAAGATAGGACACTGAAAGATGAACTTCCCAGGTCAGTAGGTGCCCAATATGCTATTGGAGATCAGTGGAGAAATAACTCCAGAAAGAATGAAGGGATGGAGCCAAAGCAAAAACAATACCCAGTTGTGGATGGGACTGGTGATAGAAGCAAGGTTCAATGCTGTAAAGAGCAATATTGCATAGGAACCTGGAATGTTAGGTCCATGAATCAAAGCAAATTGGAAGTGGTCAAACAGGAGATGGCAAGAGTGAACATCGACATTCGAGAAATCAGTGAAATAAGATGGACTGGAATGGGTGAATTTAACTCAGATGACCATGATATCTACTACTGTGGGCAGGAATCCCTTAGAAGAAATGGAGTAGCCATCACAGTCAACAAGAGAGTCTGAAATGCAGTACTTGGATGCAGTCTCAAAAATGACAGAATGATCTCTGTTCGTTTCCAAGGCAAACCTTTCAATATCGTGGTAATCCAAGTCTATGCCCCGACCAGTTAACGCTGAAGAAGCTGAAGTTGAACAGTTCTATGAAGACCTACAAGACCTTCTAGAATTAACACCCAAAAAATATGTCCTTTTCATTATATGGGACTGGAATGCAAAAGTAGGAAGTCAAGAAACACTTGGAGTAACAGGCAAATTTGGCCTTGAGTACAGAATGAAGCAGGGCAAAGGCTAACAGAGTTCTGCCAAAAGAACACACTGGTCATAGCAAACACTCTCTTCCAACAACACAAGAGAAGACTACATATGGACATCACCAGGTGGTCAACACCGAAATCAGATTGATTATAGCCTTTGCAGCCAAAGACGGAGAAGCTCTATACAGTCAGCAAAAATAAGACTGGGAGCTGACTGTGGCTCAGATCATGAACTCCTTATTGCCAAATTCAGACTTAAATTGAAGAAAGTGGGAAAAACCACTAGACCATTCAGGTATGACCTAAATCAAATCCCTTATGACTATACAGTGGAAGTGAGAAATAGATTTAAGGGACTAGATCTGATAGAGTGCCTGATGATCTATGGATGGAGGTTCGTGACATTGTACAGGAGACAGGAAACAAGACCATCCCCAAGGAAAAAAAATGCAAAAAAGCCAGATGGCTGTCTGAGGAGTCCTTACAAATAGCTGTGAAAAGAAGAGAGGCAAAAAGCAAAGGAGAAAAGGAAAGATATACCCATTTGAATGCAGAGTTCCAAAGAATAGCAAGGAGAGATAAGAAAGCCTTCTTCAGCCATCAATGCAAAGAAATAGAGGAAAACAATAGGATGGGAAAGACTAGAGATCTCTTCAAGAAAATTAGAGATACCAAGGGAACATTTCATGCAAAGATAGGCTCAGTAAAGGACAGAAATGGTATGGAACTAACAGAAGCAGGAGATATTAAGAAGAGGTGGCAAGAATACACAGAAGAACTGTACAAAAAAACATCTTCACGGCCCAGATAATCACCAAGGTGTGATTACTCACACTCATCTAGAGCCAGACATCCTGGAATGTGAAGTCAGGTGGGCCTTAGGAAAGATCACTATGAACAAAGCTAGTGGAGGTGATGGAATTCCCGTTGAGCTATTTCAAATTCTAAAAGATGATGCTGTAAGAGTGCTGCACTCAATATGCCAGCAAATTTGGAAAACTCAGCAGTGGCCACAGGACTGGAAAAAGTCAGTTTTCATTCCAATCCCAAAGAATGCTCAAACTACTGCACAATTGCACTCATCTCACACGCTAGTAAAGTAATGCTCAAAATTCTCCAAGCCAAGCTCCAGCAATACGTGAACTGTGAACTTCCAGATGTTCAAGCTGGTTTTAGAAAAGGCAGAGGAACCAGAGATCAAATTGCCAACATCCGCTGGATCATCAAAAAAGCAAGAGAGTTCCAGAAAAACATCTATTTCTGCTTCATTGACTATGCCAAAGCCTTTGAATGTGTGGATCACAATAAACTGTGGAAAATTCTGAAAGAGATGGGCATACCAGACCACCTGACCTGCCTCTTGAAAAACCTGTATGCAGGTCAGGAAGCAACAGTTAGAACTGGATATGGAACAACAGACTGATTCCAAATAGGAAAAGGAGTTTGTCAAGGATATATATTGTCACCCTGCTTATTTAACTTATATGCAGAGCACATCATGAGAAATGCTGGGCTGGATGAAGCACAAGCTGGAATCAAGATTGCCAGGAGAAGTATCAATAGCCTCAGATATGCAGATGACACCACCCTTATGGCAGAAAGTGAAGAAGAACTAAAGAGCCTCTTGAAAGTGAAAGAGGAGAGTGAAAAAGTTGGCTTAAAGCTCAACATTCAGAAAACTAAGATCATGGCATCTGGTCCCATCACTTCATGGCAAATAGATAGGGAAACAGTGGAAACAGTGGCTGATTTTATTTTTCTGGTCTCCAAAATCACTGCAGATGGTGACTGCAGCCATAAAATTAAAAGACACTCCTTGGAAGGAAAGTTAAGACCAACCTAGACAGCATATTAAAAAGCAGAGACATTACTTTGTCAACAAAGGCCCATCTAGTCAAGGCTATGGTTTTTCCAGTGGTCATGTATGGATGTGAGAGTTGGACTATAAAGAAAGCTAAGCACCGAAGAATTGATGCTTTCGAAGTGTGGTGTTGGAGAAGACTCTTGAGAGTCCCTTAAAGTGCAAGGAGATCCAACCAGTCCATCCTAAAGGAGATCAGTCCTGGGAGTTCATTGGAGGGACTAATGTTGAAGCTGAAACTCCAATACTTTGGCCACCTGATGCGAAGAACTGACTCATTTGAAAAGACCCTGATTCTGGGAAAGATTGAGGGCAGGAGGAGAAGGGGATGACAGAGGTTGAGATGGTTGGATGGCATCACCGACACAATGAACATGGGTTTGGGTGGACTCCGGGAGTTGGTGATGGACAGGGAGGCCAGGCGTGCTGCAGTTCATGGGGTTGCAAAGAGTCGGACACAACTGAGCGACTGAACTGAACTGAACATATGCATTTGCCCTTTAACTCAACAATCCCATTTCCAGAAATTTACCCTAAGGACCTACTGGCAAAAATATGAAAAGACATGTACAAGGCTCCTCATGACAGCACTGTTTGAAATCACAGAAGGCCAGACACAATTCAGCCATCTGTCAGTAGAGACCGGTCGAATACATATAGTACATTCACATGGTGGAGTACAGTGTACCACAATGTCATGGGGTGACCATCACGACATGTGTGTGGTAACAGCAAGGTGAAGAGAGCTGTAGCCTGCTGCCACCCATCCTAGAAAGGGAGACTATGCCTGCAGTCAGATACACACACACAACCATATACAGGGATATGCTCATATTAGAAAACAAATAATGGAAAGTAATAGAAGGATAAACCTTTACTTATAGGGTAGGCAAGAACTAGGTGGTAGAAGCCAAGCTCCTGAAAATAGTTTTTCATACTGGACTTTAGAAGAGTGTAGATATTTCACATGATTGTAAAAGGGTGTTGAGATTAAAAAAAAAAAAACACCTCTAGAAATAGAAAACGGAAGGAAACAAATCAATGGAAACATTCACGGCCAGCTGTCACAAACACAGAGAGGAACCAAGTGAGTTTAGATTGTAGCAACTTGATGTACATGTCCAGTGGGATGTGCCCTAAGGACAGAATGTTTACAGTAGTTTTGATGTAGGCGACAGTGCTGTGTTGTTATGCTGAGGCTGCTAAACCTGCAGGGTAGGGTAAGGACCACACGTCCCCCTGCATGACCTGAAGGGGCTGATGCTTCCCACCTGGCACTGATGGTAGAAACAGGCACTTCCTCTTTCCCTGAGGCCCTGACTCCCTGCCCTACTGCCAGGGCACCTTCTGCAAGGAGGCCACGTGGCTGTCCCTGGGGGCCTCCTGAGCTGGGCACAGGATGGGCAGGGGCAAGGGCAGTGGGCACCCAAGGAAGCCCTATGTCCTGGCTCCTTCCCAGCAGATGCGACAGTCCTTTGTATCACTAAATGATGGAGTGGGAGCCTCCTGTCCCTGAAGGGAAGGTGGCAGGCTCTGGAGTTTTCTGGGTGTGAATGAGGCTGCCCACAGACCCCAGCACAAGCCCTGTGGGGGACCAAGGTCCAGGAAGAAATGCTCCCTGGGCTTTTCCCTTCCAAGACAGGTAGCTTTGGGCAAGTCATTCAACCTCCCTGAGACTCAGTCTTAGCCCCATAAAATGGGATGCCAGGCCCTCACAGGGCAGAAATAAGCATCACCATCTGAGGATATACCCCTCTGCCTGGCCCGTCTGTCCATCAGCTCTGGGCCCGGTTCTCTGCAGCCAGTGTGGGTAACTCACACAGGGCAGAGGGAAGCGCAGGTTGGTTACGTCCAGCCCCTTCTTCACGGGCACAGTCACACGGTTGGGTAGCACCAGGTGGGCAGCGATGAGGTCCTCCAGCAGGCTGTCTGTCATCTCACTGGGGAGAGTGGGCATGACCAGCTGTGGAGGGTGGCAGCACCTCCCCCAGGCTGCCTGTCCCTCCGCCCTTCCCTGGACCTGGAATGAGGAGCAGAGCTTGGGGACAGGTGGGTCCATCCCAGCAGAGAGCAGCCCTGACCCCAACCTGTCTGGATGGGGGATCAGGAGAGGATGTAGGGTGTACATTTTGACAGTCCCCCACCCCGATCCTGCTCTGTTCCTCTCTGAAGCATCACATCATGGTAACCAAAAGCAAGGACCTGGATGCTGGGTTAGAATCTCGGCTCCACCAACCACAAGCTGTGCGACCTTGGAAAGTCACTGATCTCGACCTCAGTTTCCTCATATCTAAAATGGGGATCTCAGTTTCCTCATCTCTACCTCCTGTTACAAGGATGAGTAAATACATGTGAAGTGCTGAGAACAGTACCCCACGTCCAGGAAATGCCAGGTACATGTTCACAACTGTAGCGCTTCTACTCCCTGACATCACCTTGAAATTCTCTTTATTGCCTGATTCCAGCTCGCCAGTACAAGGAGACAGGGCAGTGCCTACAACAGGGCTGGCACACAGTAGGTGCTCAAGAAGTATCTTCTGGACAAAAGAATGCATGACTGGATTCTCTGTGCCCAGAGGGCAGAAATCAGTGGGGGATGGCCCCAGTGAGTGAGCAAGTGGTCCTACCAGCAGGCGAGCCAGTTATGGGGCACCCTGGCTAGTCCACTGTCCCTCCCTCATGTGAGGTGTGTCCACCCAGGGCTGGAGCCCTTCTCTGCTCCTCTCGGGCCCCAGGAAGGCAGGCTGCTCAGACCAGCTCCTCCTTGCTGGCTTCTGCTGTGACAGCAGCCCGCCCCCTCCCACACTGGTGTCTGTGGCGCAGTCACCATGGGCAGGGGCCATGTGGGCTTCTCACACACACACAGGTCAGGGAGGAGTTAATAAGAACAAGGAGGACACTTGTGTATGTCCACACCCACTGTGCCAGTACCACACACACCTGAGTGTTCTCCCAGGGAACTCAAGACAGAGGAACTAGGCTCCCAGTTACTGAGAAAGAGCCCAGAGAGGTGAAGGAACTTGTCCAAAGGTGCACAGTGACTAATGGGGGCCAGGAGTCTGGCCTGCTTCCAGAGCCTGTGCTCACCCTTCATCAGCCCACACGGCCTCCTCTGGGACATCTCATCTCATGGTGTCACTCCAAACACACCAACCCTGACCCTCTGGAGGGGCAGGTCCCACGCCTCTCCTGGTGTAGAGAGCAGGGAGGGTTCAGCCGTGGGGCAGCTCCTGTCACTGACCATACAGCCCAGGGGTGGGGCCCACCTCAGCTCTGCCTAGGGGTCCACACAGGCCCTTACTTGATTCCTGGTGCATCCAGCAGGTTGGTCAGGCCTGTCCAGTTGATCTGCAGGTGCTGCAGGGGCAAAAGGGGGCAGTTAGGCTGGAAAGAGCCAGGAGCCCAGGCTGAGCACCCTCACGCCCACCCCCATGGGGAATTCAGCCTGTGGGGGTGGGGGCGCCCTCTGCAGGGTGCTGGGTGGGTGAGGCACGTCCCTTCCTGCTCAGAACCAGGGCTGTCAGGTGGGCTGCTTCCTGCCGGGACCACAGGAGCAGCCCAAGCACATGGCCAGGACAGCCTGGCACCAGAGAGCCTCCGCTCCACCCTAGGCAGCTGTGAGACCTCGGCTGGCCACTTCTCATCTAGCCGGCCTTCTTCCTGGTCTTGGGGACAGCAGGGTGGAGCTCCTCAGGCCTCCCAGGGAGCATATGAGATGGTGGGTCTAGGTGGGCTTCGGCACATCTGTTCTTGGGGTCAAACCCAGTGCCTGGGCCACGGGGGTGAGCGCCAGTTCACAGGGAGCAGCAGGCCTGCCTCGTCCTGGGGACTCACCGGCTTTTGAAGGAAGAACATAGTCACGGCTCCTACAAAGGGCTTGTCCACCAGTAGGGGCTCCAGGATGATCCGCAGTGTGCCCTGCAGCTAGATGGCAAGGAGGGACCTCAGCTGCCCTTCTCCACACATCTGTTGCACTGAGTGAGGCTGCTGCTGGCTCATTCGTGCCCAGGCCACCCCCAAATGTCAGGGCCACCTGCCACCACTGCAGGGACCACACTCAGGGAAGAGGAGCCTGCATGCAGAGGCCACCCCTTTGCTGGCCACCAAGGGTCCCGGCTGCCCTCCACTGCTCTGCTTTCTGGGGGGCTTCAGCCTCGCCCACAGCCAGGGCCCAGGCATGCTCTCCAGCTCAGCTCCTCCACTCCTGCCATAAGCTCTGCCTCCTCCATCTACCTGGGTTTCTCAGCACCCGCTCAGTATCCATAAAGAGCCTCTCACTTCCTGGGGTCATCGAAGCCTCTCTGGCAGGGGGATTCCACCAACAGCGGCAGGATGGGGCAGTCCTGAGCAGCGGGGCAGTGAAGCCCAGCCACCAATTCCTGGTCTGTGATCTCAGGCCTGGAGTCCCTTGATTGGTATCAGCCCCCACTGCAGCCTCCTCCAGTCTCACCCCGCTCCCTGTGCCCTGACCCCAACCCTGGAGGTAGTCACACCAGCCTCCACCCACCTGGATGCCGTTCACACCAGCCTGTATCTTCTGCAGCTCCACACTGATCTCACAGTCCCCGATGTAGCTGGAAGTGGGGAAGGAGGAGGAAAGTGGAGGGGAAGGGTAGGTCCACGACTCAGAGAGGTCAAAAAACCTGCCCAGAGCAGCCCAGCACAAGCCTGAGCCCTGCATCACCTGGATGTGGACTCCCTGACAGCCTCGGCCTTTCTCAGCTCTGTGCAGACATTGCCCAGACTCCTAGAGACAGTGCCCAGGGACGCCACACCCAGGGTCTCATGCGCATCCCCACCTCTGCCCTCAAGGGCAGCAATTCTGCGTACCACCTCAGCCCATGACACCCCATGGATGCCAAAGAGGAGGTTTGGGTTGCATACCCTACTGTGCTTCCACCCCATCTCTGCCCAGGTCTCTGCCTGAAGATGGCAGAGTAGCCCCGTTGCCTTCCTCCAGCCACTCATACAGGTTGTTGCTGGGGGTAATGGGGTGAGCAAGTAGTAAGATCTCAGAAGACTGAGTCCAGCTGGCGTTCCTGCCAAGCGATGGTCACAGGAAGCCCACAATGGGTGCCCTTGAAGGCAGTCAAGGACTGAAGGAGAAGCGGAGAGAGAGGGCAGCTATCCAGTATCTGCAGGGTGCAGGAGCTCCCTGAGCTGATTGGAGAGCCGGGTGGGTGGGCTAGATGACTTTGACCAGTGCCCCAACTAATCACACAAGCATCCTGTGGCAGTCTTGGGGCCACAGGGGCCCAATTGCCAACTGTATCTTAACACACTTGAGACCAGGCCACACATGGGGATGGATATTCCCAAAGTTGCTTCCTGTCTTCCCAGTGTGTTCTCAGCACCAGTCTCTGGGCTAAGGACAGGATATATGTGGGACTGGAAAGGAACAGGCAACATTGTGGAACCTCGGGAACTGATCCTTGATCCTTTAAGTGCAGTTCAAATCCCACCACCTCCAGGAAGACTTCCTGGGTTGAACCTCCATTCTCTCTGACTCAAGTCTATTATCAGCTTCATTCAAAATAGATGTTCTTGCCTATCCATTAAACAAGTCGCTGACATGTCTTTGCATCCTTTAGTTTTTCTGAGGTGCCACAGTGCCCAGTTCTCCCCCTGGCCTCTCACAGCCCGTGCTCCAAGCTCCCTGGGCCACACCACAAGTTCCCACATTTTCCTGTCACACTTGCTCTCTCTTGCTACATCCTCTATAAGACAGCTGATCTGACCCTCTAGGTGACTGGGCTCTGGCCTCCAAGAAAGCTCTGCTGCCTGGGCCTTGGTACCCAAAGCATGTCTGGTGCCTAGCCTGAGAGAGGAGCCAGGCCTAGTGGCCCCTCTGGGACCATCCTCCCCATCCCAGCAAGGACCCCATGGTCCAGCCCGGCTGGAAGAAGGGGCATATGTGCCATGAGAGGCTTTCACATTCCACGAGTGTTTATCTGCGACTCTATCTTCAACCTGGCTGTTCCCGCAGTGTTCCCCCATCCCCCACACCAGGCCCCCGGGGGCACAAGGGCTCACCAGATCTGCAAGTCCAGGACCACCTGTCTGCGGTTGCGCTGGTCTGTGTGCGCCTTGATGCCGTTGACCCTGGGGCACTGGGAGAGATGTTGGGCATGGGTGGTGGGGTGGTGGTGGTGATGGCAGGGAGTAAGCTGGTCAGCAGGGGTCTTGCATGGGGTAGGGGGCAGCAAGGGGTTGCCAGCCCTGCCCATGGGTTTCAACCACAACAACCCACGTGACCACTGCACTCCAGGGGTGAGCACAAACAGAAACCCATTCTGTAGACCCTGCCCATCTGTGGCATCCTAATACCTCCCTCTCCAAACAAGCAAAATTTTCATAATGTAGAAACAGTTCAATCAACCACACTATTATCCTTCTACTCTCTCCATGCAAAATGATATTTACAAACGTGTTGTCACATGAAAAGGCTACCAAAGAATACAGAGCCAAAAATGTAGGGGAAAAGTATTACAGGGATATGATGAGCGGTTCATTAAAATTATTATATACGTTTTTTCAGATGTGGTATGTGTGATACCTTTTTAAAGAGGGTAACTTGTTATAATTTATTTTCTTATATATTCTCATATTGAACATTTATTTTTGTCTTGGTTTTACATTTTAAGTTTAACATTCCTTTTCTTTAAGAGGGCCCACCAAATTATAGAAGCTTCAGGTGGCACAGCACTTGGCTGGATGTTAAAGACCCAGAGAAGCCTGCAGAAGCCTGGTGGGGAGGAAGGGCCTGTCACTGACTTGCCCCAGCCTGGAGTCTGCTCCCAGAATGGGGCTGGCCAGCAGGTACCTGCGAGAGCCCAACCAGCCCCAAGAGCCCCATCTGTGGAGACTGCCCCTGGAGCAGGCCATCCAGTTGAAGGCTCCACCACAGAGAGGGGTGGGTAGCCACTGCTTAGAGTCTGCTCTGTCAGGCAGGGCGGTCCCAGCCCAGGGCTCATGGTGAGGTGTGGGGCGCCAGGCTGGTCAGGTGCCCCATGTTGAGCACCTCTCACCTGGCCATGCACAGTGGCCCTGATGCCAGGCCTGTTAATCACACTTCACAACTGCCCTCAGAAATGGGTCCTTTCCTCTTACAGATGAGGAAACTGGAACTCAGAGAGGTTAAATCACTGGCCCAAGGTCATAACAGCAGTGAGAAGGGTTGGACATGGACACAGGAATCAAAGGAAGCAGGAAACACTCTTGGGCATGAAGGGAGTAGGTGGACCGGGTGCACTGGGCCTGGCTAAGCGCAGGAAGGTCGGAGTCCTCTGTGATGCCCCCCAGTGGAGAGGTGTGCAGGGGAGAGGGATGGGAGAGTTAGGAGGGGTGGGAGGAGCCAGGACACAAAAGACTTTGAATGCCAGGACCAGGCATTTCCCCTGCAGGGCCAGGGCATCTGGTCAGTCTGCAGGGCCCCTGCCAGGTGCTTATGAGAGGGTGAAAATCACCCTTCAGGACCAGCCACTCCTAGTAAGGTAGGAGGCAGAGGGGCCCCAGGGCAGGACAGCTGGTGTTCCTCAAGAGGAGTAAAACTGAAGCTGTTTCCCCTAGACACTCCAAGGACAGTTAGTGGCAAGAGTTGACTCTGAAGTAAAGAGATAAGATGATCGCCCCTGAGGTCAAGGAAAACTTCCCTGTCTGTGCACATGCGCAGGAAGGCTCCTTGGGGGTTAAAAAGGGAGGGGAGCCACCCCATAATGTGTGAACATGCACCCACTGGCCTCGGCAGGGGAATCCATTCTTAGCAAAAAGTTGTGCCTGCACGTTTGGGAGGGTTCTAGAACAGGTGAGATGTGGGGGAAAAAACCAGATAATTGGCCAAAGGTAAACAAAGACTCAGAAGGACTGCCCTATATAATGATTTAAACACCTCTTTCCTGCGCTCCTCCTCATTACGGATGACACTCACACCCTTTCTCTCTGGGTGTGTATTTCTGCGTTGTTTCTGTTTTAACATAAACTATTTCTGTGTGCTCTCACCCATGTTATGATAATAAGCTCTGTGTCTCTGATAATAAACTTTGTATCTGTTATTAAAGTTTCTGCCTCCTTGAAACAGTTTTGCTTTCAGTCGGGGTAAAAAGTCAGGGAGCAATATCAGAAATTTCAACAACCTCAGATATGCAGATGATACCACTCTAATGGAAGAAAGTGAAGAGGAACTAAAGAGCCTCTTGATGAGGGTGAAAGAGGAGAGTGAAAAAGCTGGTTTAAAACTCAAGATTCAAAAACAGAAGATCATCGCTTCCAGTCCCATCACTTCATGGCAAATAAAATGGGGAAAAGTAGAAATAGTGACAGATTTTATTTTCTTGGGCTCCAAAACCACTGCAGTGATTACAGCCACAAAATTAAAAGATGCATGCTCCTTGGAAGAAAAACTATGACAAACCTAGACAGCATATTAAAAAGCAGAGACATTACTTTGCCAACAAAGGTCCATCTAGTTAAAGCTTTAGTTTTTTCAGTAGTTGTGTACAGATGTGAGAGTTGGACCATAAAGAAAGCTGAGTGCTGAAAAAATGATGCTCTCAAATTGTGGTGCTGGAGAAGACTCTTGAGAGTCTTGAACTGCAAGAAGATCAAGCCAGTCCATCCTAAAGGAAATCATTCCTGAATATTCACTGGAAGGACTGATTCTGAAGCTGAAACTCCAATACTTTGGCCACCTGATGTGAAGAGCTGACTCACTGGAAAGGACCCTGATGCTAGGAAAGACTGAAGGCAGGAGGAGAAGGGCGTGGAAGCAGAGGATGAGATTGCTGGATAGCATCACTGACTCAATGGACATGAGTTTGCGCAAACTCCAGGAGATACTAAAGGACAGGGAAGCCTGGTATACTGCAGTCCATGAGGTCACAAAGAGTCAGTCATGTCTTGGCGACTGAACAACAACAAGCCTCTATCCCCCGATGGTCTGGCTTTCATCCAAGCTACCCAGGTTCAATTCCTGGGCAGGGGAATATCTCACTTCAGGACTGCTCACTGCTACCTCGCTGAGATCACTAGGCCTGCTTCTGCTGCCAGCAAGGGACTGCTTTCCAGCAGCACGTGGTCCCACAGGCATCACCGCCCAATGGGCAGCCTGGCCAGGCAGGCTCTGCTATAAACAGAGCAGTCTGTGGGCTTCTTAACTCTTCGCCTGCTGTGTACCCCTCTGGGAAGTCCTCCCTGACTCCCACAGCCCCCATGCCACTCCACTCCTGAATCCATGCGTTCCTCACGTATACACTGCCAGGTCAGCATCTATCATCTACCAGCGTATACAGCTGCCTCCATAGAAGGACAGGTCCTTCCTGAAGGCAGGGGCACAGCCACAGCATCTCTGACTACAGAGCATGTGGCTGGGCTCAGTAAGTCAGACATGAGTGAAGCAGGGAAGGAACAAATAACCAACAGATGCTGAGACAAGCCAGTCCAGGCGGAGCCTGAATCAGAACCCCCGGGGTTAAGGCCAGCCTGACCTGCCCCCATTCAGGCGGCTAGCTGAGCATACACCCTGGGGCTGGAAGACAGCTGTCAGCATGCCAGCCTGCCCTCTGACCCCTGCTTATTCTGGGGCAGACCAGAGGCCAGCACCTCTGATTGACAGGGTGATGGACTTCATGGTGGCTCAGCCTGAGGTATGCATTTCTGATGATCGAAATAAGACATCACAGAGGGGCAGGAAGGGTGAGGCAGGAGGATGGACCAGGAAATGCAGCCTAGAGTCGGGACAGGACGCTAGGTGTGTTCAAAACACATGCTTTTATCCTGGGTCACTGAGGGCTGTCACAGAGCCAGCATGGATTTGTAACACAGACTGCCAGTGTCAATCAGTTAGCAGAGATTTAGTTATTTCTGTGAAGCACTGATCATCCCACTCCATGAAAGTGAGCTCTCCCCAGCTAATGCTTAGGTTAGCAAGCATGACTGGTAGATTTTTGTGCGGGTTGGCTTCCACCATATGGTGTGTTTTCAAAATTGTGCTTTAAAGGAATGGAATTTCCTCCCACTTCTCCTGTCTCTGAGCCAGGCTTCCCTAGAACCCGCAGACACAGTGGTGCAGGGACCAGGGGCTGAGGGGTTTATCCTGAGGCCAAGAGACTGGGAAGTGCAGGTGGGGGCTGGGTACCCTGTGAGTCAGGCGTGACCCCCCGCAGGAGCAGGGGAGAGCCTGCTGCCCCTCCTGAGACAGCACCAACCTTCTGTCCAAAGTAGAGCTTGGTGAAGGCGAAGGTCCTCAGGTGCACGCTCTTCTCCCGGATCTTGGGCTCCAGTTTCTCCCGGAACTTGTTTTCCATGATCATGCTGAGGTAGGGCCAGATCTGGGAGATGATCTGCGAGGACAGGAAGATGCCCTAGGTGCTCAGGTCTGTGCTCCCTGTCCCAGACCCATAGCTGCCCAGGGGCGGTCCTTATATTGCAGCACCCATCGGCCTGTCTACCCACCCCGTCCCATCAACCTACCTGTCCATCTATCTGCTCATTAAACATTGGATAACTATGGCCATGGTTCTCATGCTTACAGTGAGATCCTAAGATTTGCTGCCATTGTGCAGCCCACCATGAAATAGTCATTCACTGAATTAATATGATGAAGCCCTTTAGTTCTGTGCTAAAACGTATGCTACCCAAACCAACACCATGGTGTAAATAAGAAGGAGCAGATGCCAGAGGTTTAAGAATTTAAAAAAAAGAAACCACAGAAGATAAATTTAAATTGTTTCCTATGGATTTGATTTTTTTCCTAAGAATTAGAAAAGGCTGCCTATAGCTGAATTCTGCAGCAGGACGACTCATGGCGCTGGGAACCAAGTGTGGGACCTGGGGAGAGAGGGTGGCAGAGAAAGGGGACCTGGTGGCAGGAGATGGTGATCAGAGAGGGATACAGATGGCATTGGAGGTACGGAGTGAAGAAGCAGCAGCCCATGTGTTCTTTTTGGGACAAGCCTACTCCCTCTTTCTCTTTGGGATGTGGGCCTTTATTTATTTTAGTTTTGTGTCTGTGTGTGAAGACCATTTTGTCTTTAATTGAATTTGTTACAGTATTGCTTCTATCTTACCTTTTGTTATTTTGGCCACAAGGCATGTGGGATCTTAGCTCTCCGCTAGGGATCAAAACCTGCCCCCCCACCCCCCCACCCCATGCATTGGAAGGCGAAATCTTAACCACTGGACCACCAGGGAAGTCCCTTGGGCTTTAATTTAAAGATGCAGCTCCCTCTTTTCAAACCCTAATCGGAGGAGATAGGAGGAGGTGAGTTTCAGGGCTTAATGCTCATCTCTCTCACAGGCCTTGATGAGCCAGGCATTGTGATACTTTAATTACCTCATTAATCCTCACAACAACCCCTCGAGGCAGGGACCATAATTATTCCCATTGCACAAAGGCGGGAAGCAGCTCTGAGACATCAGGGGACCCGCCCTGGTTGCATAGCCAGTGCTGCCAGATCTTGACTGGGGACGAGGTGAAACTCAGCAGCTGCTGTCAAATCCCTAATCACAGCCTTCCTCTCTCCAGGACACGATGGTATCAGTCTGGTGGGATTGGAGGCCTGCATTTCCCTCTATACCTTCTAACTTTTCTGCTGTGGCCATGCATTAATTTCGCAATTAAAAGACAAAAATTTCACAATTAAAAAAACTTTTTTTAAGAAAAGAAAGTCATTGTCTGGTGAGGAGAAGAACCCTGAGGGTGGGAAAAGTGGAAGGCCACCACCCCAGAGACTAAGGGCCATCTTTGGCCCCAGACAAGGCTTCCACCAGGACTGCAGGACTGCCTTGTTCACACACGCTCCCCCCACACCCCCGCCCCATCCAGGGTCCACGCCAGGCCCAGGGGGAGGACAAGGCCTGGAGTGAGGCCAGCGCCCCCAGGCCAGCCCCTGCCTTACCTTGTTGGCCCATTCAACCCGTTCCACGTCCGGGAAGTGGATCTAGGGAACAGAAGGTTGAAGAGGAAGTTAGACTTGAGACCTGCCGCCCTCCCAGAACCAGGCAGGCTCCCATTCCCAAGCACAGGAGCTTTGCTGAGACCCACCGCCTACCCTCCGGAAGGGGAACCAGCCCGATGGTGCCCACCCACCTTGGACAACCTGACACTGATCGGACACTGGCCACCAGCTCCTGGGTGGGAGACATGGAAGGGCCGTTTTGCAGTGACTCTCCACCCTCACCTTCCTGATGGAAGCATAAAACCCCAACCTGGGCCTCCACCAGGGTGACACCTGAGTTGACTTCTTGCAAATTCCATCCCCCTTATTTTAATGGTACAAGTAATCATAGCCTCTGCAGAAAAATTAGAAAATACAGCTAAATGAAAGGAAAAATATTTTATCAGAGAATGCTGCCTGGCAATAACTGTCATTACCAGGTTGATTTCCAGGCTCTTCTAGAAACAAGTATCTGTAGTTTTCACAGAAACTGAGGTCACAGTGCTTTTTCTTAGCCTGCTTTTTCTCACTCAACAATACATTATGATGGTGCTGACCCAAAGGTAACCGTTGCCCATTTGAAAGGCCAACAAGGGCACCCTGCCATTTTCAGGGGCAACTACAGAGTGGGGGTGCCCCTCACCTTCCTGGGCCCCACCCAAGGCTCCCTGTCCCCAGCAGGGAGGCCCCTCCGGCCAGGGCCTATATTCACAGACCCAGGCTCTGGGCCTGCCAGGTGAGTCCTGCCGCATCCCTTGGTGGCGGATGGGGGGAGATCCCTGTGAAGTGACAATTCTGTGGCCTAACCTTTGCATGCCATGATTCTGAGGGTGCTGAACCCCTCCCCACAAGGGTCTCAGTCTCAGAATGTCTACTGAGCTTAATACCCAACCCCCACTCCAGCCTCCCCATCATCCCCACCACCAAGACTTTCTGGGATGGACAGAGTAAGCGTGTGTGCATACTATGGATCCATATAACGGAAGTGATGTAATTTTACTGTCGCCCTGTACCAAGTGTCTGGAGCACGAAGTCAACTCCAGATCAGGTTCATGGTAGGCCTGGGACCTCCTGAGGAGAAGAAAGGGCCAGCCCTTCCCACCCCGGGGGCTCAGAAGGCATGCTGTCCAGGGACTGAGCATATGTGACTATACAGTGCACATGCCTAGCGCAGCCCTGCCAAGTGCCAGGCCCTGTGCTGCCCAGGGATGCCCCCAAGGATCCAAACACAGACCGAGGCCTCATCCACCTGCCCAGAAGAGCCATTCCCAAAGGAGGGGAGAGAGACTTCATTCTCTCATGAGCAATATTTTTTTGTCCTGTTTTTTAAATTTTGGCTGCACCGAGTGGCTTGCAGGATCTTGGTTCCCCAACCAGGGATGGCACCCATGTCCCCTGAAGGGGAAGCGAGGAGTCCTAACCACTGGGCCACCAGGGAATTCCCTCGGAGCGGTTGTTAACAGCCTGAGAAGTTAGAGGAGCCCAGTGTTTCTGAAACCCCTGGAACATCACACCAACCTCCCAGGCTCAGCTTCCCCAGCTCCGGGCCTGGGGCCAATACTAACTTAAGAGAAGCGTCTAATATTCCCAGGTGCTGCCAATACTACCTGGTTCCCAGAGAGGGAGCCAGTCTGGCCCAGGAACGGAAGGGGATAATGGGGAAGGAATCTTGCAGGGAGTGGGGCAGGAGTCAGGGTCAGCCCGACCAGTTCACCAAACTGGGTTCCAGGTCAGCGCAGGGGGAGACTCCTCCATGGCTCCTGGGTACACTCACTACCTAGCACTGAAGTAAAACTCCTGCATATGGGGCTGAATCAGACATCTTTATTCCCTTCGATTGCTCCATTCACGTGGCTCTTAGACCTCCCTTCTTATGGGCAACCTTCTCAGAGCTCTCAGGTTGGGGCTCAGTGTCCCAATTAGGTGTTGCTGCTTCTCCATCACAGCTTTCAACACACCTTATTAAAGTTGCTTGGTCTTCTGCCTGCCTCCTCACCGCATGGCAAGCTTTGGTGGACTGACTCAGCTGTGCTCCCTCTTAACGCCTATCTCTGGTGTATGAATGTCTTAATAACTATTTGTGGAATGAATGAATGTATGAATGAATGTGGAATGAATGAATGCTCCTGTCCTCAAGGAGCTCCCAGGCTGCTAAAGGAAGCATGCCATTAACAGGCTATTCCAGTACAGGATCAGCACCCAGGCCGGGGCAGGGGGGCTCCACAAAAGGGAGAGTTTGGTTACAGTGGGGCTGTCACTGGAGCCTCTGCCCCTCTCCTGCCCAGGCCTGCTGGCTGGACCTTTCATACCCTTCCTTCCACCTTAACTTCCCATCCCGCCCCCACACACCCTATGTGCATACCCCTTCCAATGTCCTACACCCCTGCCCAGGTGGATCTCTCTCTTGGAAGCTGAGAAGTTCTGATCTGCTGGATGCTGGAAAGGTGATCCAGCGTGCTGGGTCTGACCTCACCCACACTTGGGATCTAGTCAGACAAAGATTCCTTAACTGCTTCCATCTGATGAATCAGGTGCACCAGGGTGGGGCTTCCAATTCATTTTTAACAAGTTCCTGGCATGATCCTGGAGTTCAGTTAGGGTTGGTTGTAAAGGACCACTGACCAGCCCGCCACCTGCATTAGAGAGACCCACACTCACCCTGAAGGGAGGACAGCATGGAAGGCCCAGGGCCCTCACTGAGTATGTTGTCATGGTCTCTCCTGACCATCTTTGCCTGTATTTGAGGCTCCTGCCTAAGAGATGCCCCCAGAGAATGAGTCTGAACCCCTGACACAAGCAGTGATTCAGACAAAGAGACCATCAAGACACCCTATTTCACCTTAGGCACCGAAGGGCCTCCCTGAGCCTGAATCTTAGCCCTGTCACCCTCCTCTGGGAGACAACCCAAGAGCTGGGCCACCTCCTTTGTGACTGCCCCTGAGTAAGCTCGGGACCAGGGAAGGAAAGAGACAGGCTGACCTTTACGGAGCAACTTCTCACACCCAGTGCATGTCAGTCCCATGCAGACAAACGAGTCTTTCTCATAATTCAGACCTTTCCCGACTCCAAATTCTCAAAGTTATTCTATGTTTTTATCTATTGGCTTTGTGTTTTAGTTTTCACATAAAAGGAAGGTCTTCAATGTGTCTGGAATTTATTTTTTATAGTGGGTGAGATAGGTATACAATTTATCCACATACTTAGAGGCAATTTTCTAAGAAGGAAGATAAAGGGAAGGAGCACAGGAAGAGGAAGGAAAGGAGGGGGAGGGTTGGGTGGGGGAGGAGGAGAGGGAGGGAGAGGAGGTGGGAGATTAGTTCATGTTTCCTACTAACTAGTGAAGTTACTTCCCTCACACGTGAGCATCCCATGTGCACCCCGGTGTGTTTCAGGACTTGGCATTGAACACCATGGTCTGTTTGCCTGTTCTGGCATCACTACCACACTATTTTAATCTCTGTGATTTCACAATATAACCTGGGGTAGGGTGATTCCCCTCTTTTTGCTTTTCTTTTTCAAACTGCTTTAGATAATAGTAGGTATTTCTGCTTCTGTATGAATTTCAGAATCATCTTGTCAATCTTCCCCAAAAATACCCTCCTTGGATTTTAATGGTTATATTTCCAAATTTATAGATTAATTTGTGGAAGAACTGACCTCTTTAACAGTATGACATTTTGCATCCATGAGCAGAATATTTTCCTTTATTTATTCATATTTGTATGAATTCATACAAATTCATTTATGAAAAACACAATCATTTTGTATGATTGTATTCACATTTAGGATCATAACCTTTTCTCTAAAGAAGTCCTACACATTTTTTGTTACATTACTCTGTGGGTTTTGCAGTTACTAAAAATGATGTTTCATTTTCTGGGCAACTTTTCTTGAAATTTGTTACCAGTTCTGTTAATTCTCATAGGTAATTTATACACATTTGTAATCTCCAAGTGATAACAACTTCTTTTTCTGGCACTCCTTATCCTTACACTTGTTTGTTAGCAAGTAGCTCTATCTGGTTCCTGAGCCCAAAAGGAAGTTTCTCCATTAAGCATGATTTTTGCTTTAAATTTGGGAAGACAGCCTCTATCAGACTGAGGAAATTCTTTTCAATTTCTAAACTTCCAAGAGCTCTCATTATAAATGGGTATTGAACTATATTCAATACGTTCTCATACCAAGTTATTTTTTCCTTTTCATCCATTAATGTGATCAACTTAACTGATGTTTCTTTCTAAACCAGAACCATCTCTCTTTCCTGGGATAAATCCTACTTAAAATATTTAGCTAGCCTGATATCTCACTTAGGTTTTATACACTAATGATTCAAAGTGATACCTACAGCTTAAGTCCCCTTGGACTGCAAGGAGATCCAACCAGTCAATCCTAAAGGAAATCAGTCATGAATATTCATTGGAGGGCCTGATGCTGAAGCTAAAACTCCAATACATTGGCCACCTCATGCGGAGAGTTGACTCATTAGAAAAGACCCTGATGCTGGGAAAGATTGAGGGCAGGAGGAGAAGGGGATGACAGAGAATGATATGGGTGGATGGCATCACTGACACGATGGACATGGGTTTGGGTGGACTCTGGGAGTTGGTGATGGACAGGGAGGCCTGGTGTGCCGCGGTTCATGGGGTCGCAAAGAGTTGGACACTACTAAGAGACTGAACTGAACGGTTCTGAACGGTTCAGAACGTTCTTTCTTTAACGGTTAAAGGTCTACTGATCTCTTAGTGTGGTAATCTTGACATTTGTATTTTTATAGAAATGTATCTAGTTCATTCAGGCTTTCAAATGTCTTGATACACAGTTATTTACAATATTTCATTGTTTTAATGTTATACCTATATAGTTATTTCTGTCTTTTTCATTCTATAGTTTATCTTTTTTCATAATCAAGCTTGACAAAGTTGTGCCTATTGGCCTGTTGTTTAATTTTTTTCCGACAACTAACTTCAGTTAATAATTTTCTTTACCTTTTATATTTTTGGCTG